AAGAGGGGGGGGGGGGGGATCATATGGACCAGACTAAAAACTCAGAAACAGACGAGGATGGGCCCAGGAATAACATTAGGAGTAAGTGTATTTTGAAACCGAAGCATGTTATGAAAACTACCATTGCTGCAATGTAACCAAAAATGTGTTCTTTTACCTGGAAAAGATGACAAAATCCATTTCAAAACATTAGGGAAGAAAAACCAATCATCAAAGCATTTGCTTTGGGATTCTTCAGGGTAATTATATTCTTCCATGTTAATGGAATAGAGAGGCATGAGAGCTGAAATGCACCGCCTTCTTTCTCCGGGAAATCCACCGCTCGCTTCTGCATTTGGCTACCGGAATCATTCAGGGCAGCTATCTATTACGAGTCTAAGATGGAACCAAATACCAATCCCAATCACGCGTGTAAGTCAGATACTGAAAATGCAAATCCACTTCACGAGCACAAACCTTTGGAACATTAAAGGATCCGGATTGAGATTTCGAGCACCGGGCAAATGTCAGCAGACGTTTCCACTCGACCCAGTTCAAACAAAACCATACGTTTTATTGAACCATGTTGAATCAGGATTCAGGCAACAAAGTGCAGGAGAATCATAGTGACTCAGGAAACGTATGCAGAGGTATCAGACTTCAGACATGAGGTGTTTGATCATGCTTTCGAACACACCTAGATGACTATTCATCCCAGTGGTATTCAAACGTGAATAATACACACATTCACAGAAGAACCCAAGAAACATCAAACGCCATTCGATTCAAACTACATTGTTCCAGATAACCTTTATGATCTGATCGGTTCACAGAGAAAAATCATGGATCATACCAATAACAGAATAAGAACGGGGACTTTTAATTGATCAAGAGGGTAAGGCGCTACCTCCTGTGATGCTGGACAAACTTCGAGTTCTTCGCGTCTTCCTCTGCATATCATCGTCATTTACAGCAATTAGGGTTTCCACAATCAGCAATTCCAACAATACAAGACACGGGGCGACAAACCCGATACAAACTCGAAATTCCATGAACGACGATCAATGGGAAGCAATTTCATCAGTTTCGGAGAGATCGGATGGATCCGTCGACTTACCGGTGAGCCCAGCAGTGAACTTGGTGATGATGGCGCCGGTAACGGCGAAACCAGTAATGAACGGCCAACAACGTTTCCATTCCCTCTTGAAGAACACGGGCCATGGATCGAACAGCCTCATCTCTCTCTAGTGCCGCTATCCTCTCCCCGGGAGATTTTCTCTCTCTAATTGAATCTTTTGAGCCTCAAACTCAAACTAAATTCTTAATGGGCCGTACATTATACGGCCCATTTATGTTGTCCTGAGTCTTCGAGCAGTGAGGCCCACTTGCCATCACATGGATCGACTTTATTAGCCGTCGATTAAATTAAATCAACGGTTGTTGTAGGCCCACTTTATATCGGTTCATTTATTCTCCCAACCAAAGTTTAGGCGCCCCATTCCTTTAGGTTTAGCCCGCGCGGAATCATGATTACAAAGCCAATGTCAAGAGGTATTTGGCTATCACACGGATCACCTTTATAAACCGTCGATGAATGATAAATCGACGGTTCATACGTCATCTGAGCTCTCACTGAGATCGAGATCTACAGCCGTCGGATCTAATCTTAAATCCGAGGGTTTAAATTAAAATGCCCCCTCCTTGCATATAAATAACCTCCGTGTCTTCTTCCCAACCATCACAAATCCTAGCAGCCTTTCATTTCATTGAAGTAGAAGAAACGAAAGCTAGTTTTCTCGAGAAAATCGAATTATCCTGGGAAAATGTCGGGTCGTGGAAAGGGAGGCAAGGGATTGGGCAAAGGAGGAGCCAAGCGTCACAGGAAGGTTCTGAGGGACAACATCCAGGGAATCACTAAGCCAGCGATTCGGCGGTTGGCTCGTAGGGGTGGAGTCAAGCGTATCAGTGGTCTGATATACGAGGAGACTCGTGGTGTCCTCAAGATCTTCTTGGAGAATGTCATTCGAGACGCCGTCACTTACACCGAGCACGCTCGGAGGAAGACGGTGACCGCCATGGACGTCGTCTACGCACTCAAGAGGCAGGGAAGGACACTTTACGGATTCGGTGGTTAGGGTTTTCAGCTTTTCGATTGCAAAACTAGTGAAATACCAACGGGTTGTTTTTGTTTTTGGCTTTGTCCAGAATCTGTCTGTATTTTTTTAGCGATTTCGATGGCGTTAGTGGTTTGTGTAATTAATCGTTGCTCAATGCTCGTAATTCCGAATTTCGTTCCGACAAGTTTAATGGAAATTTCTGAAACTGTGCTATCCAAAGCAATGTATCTGTAAATCCCCGATAGAATCGGACAAAGGACAAATCTTTTGTGGCGGAGCCATTTCAGTTCCAAGATGCTGTGTTCATTTTCTTATCCAGATCTGTTTTTTTTAATAAAAAAAAAACTTGCCCAAATTTGTATATAATCTGGAGACAAACGATTCCAAACATTTCACAAGTCTTAATTTTCCATTGTAGTCGTTGCAGAGGAGAGAATTTATTGCCTCGAATCTCTCTCTCTCTCTCTCTCTTGACATTTTCCTCTCTCCCATACATACCCGTTATTCCCACTACCCAAACACCAGACATATACGCGAAACCGATACGTACATGCACATGCATGCAAGTGTATACATGCTTTCGGAAATGTATTTAAGCCCCAACACCCATGGAATCTCAAGGTACCCTCTAAAATTTTCCGTCTCCAAATCCGCTTGACCATGGCTTCAAAATGCATTGATGACTGTATGAACGTAAACGACGTCGTTCGTGTCCGCCCGACAACCTACGCGACACTACACAAGTGGCCTGAGGCCGAGGCCGAGTTCGTACGGTCGATCAGCCGTGGCGGCGGCGGCG